CCACTCGGCTCTCAGGGCAGTGGATTCATGACAGAGATTCATTCATTTTTTGCTCCAGGCCTATATGATAAGGTAAACTGGAACCTGAAGAAGAACAGGGACCAGCGTGGCTGGTGGGGCGTGAGATGTTTGGCCGTCCTCAGGTACTCCAGGTTTTATGATCTCTATAGATAATGAATGGGTGGGTGGCACCCTCCAACCAGTGCCTCCACTCCTCCAGGGCCAGTTTAACTGCCAGGAGTTCTCAGTTCCCCACATTATAATTGCATTTCTCTCTGGAAAACTTGAGGGAGAAGACTGCTATGGGGTACCACTTGGGTTTATCTTTGAGGATCTGTGAGAGAATGGCCCCTACCCCTGCCTCAGAGGCATCAACCTCCATGATGAAGGGTTTGGAGGGATCCGGATGTGTAAGGATGGGGGCCGTGGTGAAGGTCCGCTTGAGCTTGTCCAGCGCCTCCTGGGTGGTTGGGGTCCAAAGGAGTCGCCTGGGCTTGCCATGCAGGAGGGATGTCAGGGGTTGTGCTATCTTACCGAAGTCTCAAATGGACCGTCTGTAAAAGTTTGCAAAGCCAAGGAACCATTGAAACTCCCTGATGGTTCTTTTGCGTGGGCTATTCCACCACTGCTTGAGTCTTGCGCTGGTCCGTGGTGACCTCTTCCTAGCTAGTGATGTATCCTAGGAAAGAGATCATGTGTTGGTGGAACTCACAATTCTCTGCCTTTACATAACGTTGATGTTGCAACAGGCGGTGCAAAACCTGCCGGAGATGGTTGATATGCTCTTCCAGGGACGCCGAATACACCAGGATGTCATCGATGTATGCGATGACGCTCCTCCCCATCATGTCTCTTAGGACATCATTATGCTAAAAGCTGTCTTCCACTCATCCCCCTCCCAGATGCAGACCAGGTTGTACGCGCTACACAGGTCCACCTTCGTGAAAATGGTTGCGGATCTTAACTGTTCAAGGGCTGCCGGAACTAGTGGCAGGGGATACCGGTACTTGACTGTCACTTAGTTTAGGCCCCAGTAGTCGATATACGGTCGTAGGCCCCCTCCTTTCTTTTTCACAAAGAAGAACCCGGCGGACATGTAGGGTCTAATTTACTCTTGTTGGAGGGCCTCCTGAATGTATTTCTCCATGGCTCAGTGTTCAGCTTCGGAGAGAGTGTATACATGACCCCGAGGTGAACTGGATCCAGGAAGGAGGTAAATGGCGCAGTCATAGGATCGGTGTGGTGGTAAACCACTTGCTTTCTCCTTGCTGAACACCTCGCTGAGGTCACGATATTCGGGAGGGGCCATGACTAGAACATGAGACATGGCTCTCTCTACTGTCATCAGCCAAGGTAGGCCTAGAATGACAAGGTGCCAGGCGGAGACCTTGATGTACAGGACAATGGTTTCGTCTTAGTGCCAGCGTGCAGTGGGATCCCCCACCCATGGGGTACCCGTCTATTGACTGGATTTTACATGGCTGGTGCAGGGGACGTACAGGGAGGCCGAGGTTCTGCACTGTCTTCTGATCTATGAAGTTCCCGGGATGCTCGAAGTCGATTAGTGCTGAAAGCACAAAAGATTGCCCTGAATGCTCTATTTTAACAGGTAACACGATTATATGTGGAGTGTGTGTTCGGATTGATCTCACCATTGGCGATGATGTTGGCGGTACGCATTCCCCTCAGCTGGTCGTGGTGTCTTGTGGGGGCACTGACGGACGAGGTGGGTGCCCTCTCTGCAATAAAAGCAGCAAGACTCACAACATCGCCTCTCCCTCTCCTCCTTGCGGATCCAGGTCTAGCTGAGCTGTATGGGCTTGGCTGGGGGTGCTGGCTCAGGTGGCAGGGGACCCCATAGTGCGGGGCGGTTGGTTCGGTGCAGAAGGTCCAGCCATATTGCAAGGTCTTTGAGGGTGTTGAGGGTGAGCTGTTCACCCCGACATGCCAACTCTCTCACCAACTCGGGTTATTCCACCCGCTCTGTGCAGAGATGGTGTGGAACTCCAAGGCGTACCCCACCGCATCTCAAGAGCCTTGCCTGATCTTCATGAGCTCTTGGCCGGTCTCTCAACCATCAGGGTAATGATCAAAGGCATGCTGGAAGCGGTAGAGAATGTCCGCTAGCGAGGCTCTGGTACCACCCCCTAGCTCATGCCATGGCGTGTCCGGTGTGGAGCTCCATGGAGTGTATGACTTTATGGACTTCCGGCATGTCAAGGTAGATCTCAAGAAACAGCGAGCACTGTAGCAGGGATCCCTTACATCATTCCAGCTCTCCAGCATATCTCTCCGGTGTAGGTAGAGGAGGAAAGTGTGCAGGCAACGCGGGTGGAATGTGCGCACCCAGCGTTGGCTGAGCATACGCTGCTGCTAGAGATGGAATGTGCATGGGCAGAGGTGGAGGTGTCGCACAGGCGTGACACTTGACACTTAATCGGTTAAATGCGATATCTGGTCCCGCTGTACAGCTATTGCTCGATTCTGCTCCAGGATGTGGCATTGCCACTCTTGGGTGTTCGCTGCCTCCATAGCAGGCAAAGGAATCTGTTACAATACCTTATTAGAGGCAAGAGCGCTGAGAAACAGAACTAGAGTGTGAGGATCAGGCGGAAGATGAAACACGGAAGACAGCAGTAGGTCACGCGATCGGGTGAGCAATCCAGACTGGGCTAGGCAGGGAAATGGAATCCAAATACAGGCAATAAATCCAAAAACCATAGAAATCTGAAACACAGACAAAGGCTTCGCGAACATCAGAGGTAAGGCTGCTGAGAGTTTACTTAATTTAAGAAGGCCTTTTATAACCTATGATGAAGTACAGGAGTTCGCACTCAGTACTCCGGTGAACGTGAGTGCGTGCATGGCCGGGAAGTGTAGTTCCCGGCCCGGGAATGGCTAGATGGCAAGCTAGCACCTTGCATGGCAGCTCTGCTAACATTGGTGTGTGAGTGTGTGTGTGTGAATGGATGAATGAGACACAGTGTGAAGCGCTTTGGATAAAAGCGCTATATAAGTGCACATTTACCATTTACCATATATATATGGAGTGATTTTTATTTTATACCATGACTTTTCATCATGGGCCAGGATAACATTAGCTAGCTTTGTATACAAATTTAGAGTGCTTGTTTGGGCGTAAATGGTTTATTTTAGCTAAATATGTCAAAATATAAATAAAAAATTGACAATTTTGCTCTATTTTATTGACTGAAATGTAGGAAAACATAATAGCATTGCTTTCTGGAAGCCATTTTGTGGTCAGGAGTCGAACGTACATACATACATTACATTCATACTTCCATTAGATTGCAGTGATGAATCAAAATGAATGTTCTTTCAACAATAACAACAACAAAGTGATCCAGGAGCACATTCTGCAAAAATTATCATGTCAATGTGGAAATTCTGTACCTGGCATTTGAGAGTATATATAAATACCCCTCCCCCACCCCACAATGGCAATAGCATGCCATTTTTGCACTACATCTAGCAGGCTTTTTAAAGAACATTTATGATTTGGCAAATGTTTTTATGCAAAGCAACTTACAAGTGAGATTTAATTACAAGTTGGAAAATTAAATTGAGTCAGTTCTTCTTAGTGAGTTTAATCAGTCCAATTTGTTTGCCTGTCTTAATGTTCTTTTACACTCCATATAGATTGTGATGCCTTATATTTGATCAGCAGTAATTGTCTCTACATCATGTAACGATGTAGGACTATTGAAGTCATCTGCTGAAATTTAGATATCATATTAATACCTATATATCAGATATTAGATATCATATTAGTAATTATATTAATACCAACATGCTTTTCAATTGGAACTTAAAGTGGCCTAAAACTACTTATGAGCATAAAAATAAAATCACAAATAAACTTTGAGGAACTAGTTAAGTAACTCTGCGAAATCTCTCCTTCTTGGTGATATTTAACATTTTCTTCTCATTTTGGTATCCATGGTGACAGGAGAGCAGCCGAATTTCAGATAAGGGGGAATTGGAAATGGACTGAGGTGATTTTTAATATGCAAACGGAGGGCTATTCTCCTTATAATTTAATAGAGCAAACAAAGTTGAGCGGTGCAGGTGACAGCTGTAAATTACATGGTCAGGGCAAAAAAATTATCAGCAGCTTTACAATCTGTTTGCTCGTGCAAAGCAAACAGAGAGTGTGACATCTCCTGTGAAAGAAAGGAAAGAGGAACGAAAAGGAGAAGTATGCAAGGTGATTGAGAGACAGAGAGGTGGAGAGGAGGGTTTACCTCTTCCATCTGAGTGATTTGTTGGCAGAAGAAGTATGAAATGAAAATGGAAAAGTAGAGGACTCGGGGGGTCAAATTTGTGGAATCTGCCTGTCACCTCACACTCATCATTCCACTCCCCATTGGTCATTTAAATCAGGCCAGACCTAAAAAAAAAAAAAAACATTCAGGTTGTTGAGGTTCATTTTTGCGGGAGCCTACTGCAGCAGCCTGAACAAGACAACCATTTTTAATTTATGTTGTGAAAGAGTATATGTTCGTATTATATATATAGTATTAATATCTGTATGTCTGTAAGAGCCTGATGCTGTATCATGTGGCAGCTGTGCTAATGCATAAAATAACAGATACAGGACTAAAATTTCAGTTAATGTTCACATCAACCATCAGAGCTTAGTGGCTTTGATCATGGAATAGTTGTTGATACCAGAAAGATTGTTTTGAGCGTTTACAAAAAAACTGCTGAAATTTTCATTCACAACAGTCTGTAGAGTTTACACAGAGTGGTGAGGAAAAAAACTAAATCCAGTGAGCAGCACTTCTTCTTGTAGAGTAGAGAATTCAGAGGAGAATGGCCAGGCTGGTTTGAGCTGACGGGTAGACTACTTTAAATCAAATAACCACATTATCCAACTATGGTGAGCAGAAAAGCATCTCATTACATGCATCACATTGAACTTGGTGGAGCTACAGCAGCAAAGACCACTTGGGAACCACTTGGGTACCACTTGGGTACCAGTGATAGCTCAGTGGTTAAGGTGTTGGTCTACTGCTCAGAAGATCTTGAGTTCAAATGCCATTGTTGAACCCTTGAGCAAGGCCCTTAATCCTCAATTGCTCAGATGTATGAGATAAATGTAAGTTGCTCTGGATAAGGGTGTCTGCCAAATACTGTAACTGTGTAAACATAAGCATTCCACACCTGCCAGCCATGAACAGGAATCTGAGGCTACAGAATCTGAGGCTATAATCACTCAAGCTAGATGGCTGAAGCCTGGAAAAAGACCAGCTGATGTACTGTAATGATTATTTGGATGCTTCTTACAAGGGCACTCCTTGGAACCCTTTTTGATAAGGGAACACTCTGTTGTAGTAGGAAAATACTTTGCAATAAAAACTTTCATGATATCCCCAGAGGGACAAATAAACAACCTATAAGGGCTGTAAATTTTTCCTTATTTTTTAAGTGGACTTTGTGTAGAGTCAGTGTGTATCAGAGTATTTATATAAAATAGATTCAGATCTATTTTTGGCATCACAGCATACAGACCCTAGAGTAAGATTCACTGCACTAAAAAGGACAATTTCATGAACGCATGCACACAAATGATGTATTTTTAAATTATTTAAACCACATATCAAACTACACATAACAGTTATATGTTTACATACACCATTTGTTATTTCTCTACAGTAGAAAATGACTACTACTGTTACTACTACTACTCCCATTATTATTATTATTATTATTATTATTATTATTATTATTATTATTATTATTATTATTCATAGTAGTAGTAGTAGTATTAGCACTTCTGCAAACACATTGGTTATATTATAAATAATAAAGATATTAAATCATATACTAAAGATGACGTGCGTGTGTGTGTGTGTGTGTGTGTGTGTGTGTGTGTGTGTGTGTGTGTGTGTGTGTGTGTGTGTGTGTGTGTGTGTGTGTGTGTGTGTGTGTGTGTGTGTGTGTGTGTGTGTGTGTGTGTGTGTGTGTGTGTGTGTGTGTGTGTGTGTGTGTGTGTGTGTGTGTGTGTGTTGAATTAGGGTGTTTGGTTAACGAAAAAGCTGCTTTTTCATATCAGCTTCAGACACACAGCCTGTGCAAACAGTGTGTGTTTTTGTATCTTGAGGGTCAGCTGATGATTAAAGCTGAACAAAGCGGTCCATCACACACGATGATAAAGAATGAGCTGAAAGGACAGACTTAGACAAAACCCAGCAATTACAGTTTGTAAACAAATGTGTTCTCTCGTTCTGTTGGTTTCAGACACGCTTATCAAGAACTGGGCTATTTTATCTCGATAGGTTCAGCAATCACAATGGAAAGGGTTAAAAGTCCTGAAATTATTTAGTTCATAATATAAGATTAAAGTCTCATGATTTTTGTGAAAATAATAATAATTATTATTGTCTTTTTATTTGTGTGTGGTGAATTTTTATAGAATCATTATCTTCTACCCTGAGTTTTCGATTACTTCATTTAATTGTAGTAAATGTTTTACAAAAAAAGATTATATTCACAAACAGCAGACTATGCTTAATTTTATGAAAACATCACCATGCTTGTGTCTCATTGTTTTCCCTTCTATTGTGGAATGCTGCCAAAAGACGAAGGTCTGAACTGTAAGTACACTGAAAAAAAAAATGATTCAGTGGTTCAGTAAATATGAAAAATATCATAAATCTGTGATTAGAATGACTTAATTGCTTTAAGTTCTGTACTAAATTAATTCATGTAAATATAACTATGGCTATAACCCAAAGTGTATATTTGACATACTTTACTGGGTTAAAAGTAATGTTATTTTGCAAGTGCTCACAAAACTAGAAAAATGTTTACTTTACCAAAGCAACATTTACTTAAACTGATTGCATAATAAATGGCATATTTGTGGGTTTTTTTATTATTATTTTTTTTTGGATTTGCACATGCATTTACAGAGCTTTAAACTGATTTAATATTGAGTGTTATGGCTGGATAAATCTAATATATTTGGAACAGAAATAGAAGGAGCAAGAAAATGATTCATTTATTTTATCATTCATCATCAGTAGTTCTAATGGCATGGGCACAGTGTATCTGGAACTTATCCCAGGAATATCCCTGGTTCATCACAGGGCACCGCACATACACATACATTCACTCACTGATTATATACATACACATGCATATATGCACCATGCATACCTACACTGATCTATCTACATACTTTTGAATAATATTGTACTGTCTCTTCAGTAGATATTACTGTAAGACATTTATCTGTGAGTTGTTGCTTTATTTTTTATGCCGTGGCTCCACCTGCTGTTCAGGAGGTGTAAGTCATTTGTATGCAACTTTGAGAAAATAGTCTTTGAAAGGTGGTCCTGAAAATCTCATTTAACTCAAATAAACATTGCACATAATGTGCAATGTTTACTTGTATAAAACAACAATTCTAAAACAAAAATCTAAAAATTATCTGGGCAATTAAGCGAATAACTCCTTTAACGACACATATGATTTAGATAAGTTTTTTTTTTTTAATTAAGCTATTATTGAACAAATATGCAATATTTTTCATGCCATGTCTTTAGAGGAAACAATGCAATACATATATTTTAAATATATTTTATAGTATCATTTTTTTTTTACTTCCATTGTCAATTTCCCTAAGAGTCATTAAGCTGGAGAAAGATTGCATCTAAGTTTAACAACCATAGAGCTCTGGCTAGTGAAAATGTAAGGAGAGCTCCAAGGAAACCATTTCTGTCTAAATTCGGAACTCTGTGTTTTTCCAAATTGCATATTGCTTCAAATTGTCCAAGAATAGTGCAGGGAAAAGTATCAGACTGCAGTTTATTCATTCTTTCAGATTCAGTAATTGCTTCATCTTGGTTCATCAGGGTGGCAGTGGGTCCAGAGCCAATCCCAGCAACACTGGGCTCAAGGCAGGGGAATTCACCCCAGGCGAGATGCCAGAACATCATAGTGCACCATACATACCTATGGGCAATTTAGCATAGCCAATCCACCGACCTGCATGTTTCTGGACAGTTGGAGGAAACCATTGAATCCCACAGACAGTTTAGTATACTCAAAACCTCTTAACTCTTCTTCCTATTATTTAATTTTATTGATTTTTGTACATTAAAAAAATTGTGGTTAGTAATTTGATTATATTTATGACTTACATAATTATAATTGATACAGTACTGTGCAAAAGTCTAAGGCATCATATTCGTTTAATACAGATTTTGTTATAGATGTCTATTTTATGACTTATGCATTATTGCGTGAGTACAATAACATTTTATATTTCCAAACATGACTTTTCCAAACCGTGTCAGTAAAGAACCCATATGTAACAGACCACAAAAAACATAATGAAGGCTGTTGGGTTTGCATGTAGAAAAAAGAAGCACATATGTAACTACAATTGATACAACTACAGATTACAAGTGTAATCTACAGAAGAACTGTGGCAGATTCTGCAAAATGCTCAATAAAACTTACCATACAATTTCCTTCTAAAACTACACAAATTGTACCTGAGCCTACCGAGTTGTTTATTATTATTATTATTATTATTATTAATAATAATAATAATAATAATAATAATAATAATAATAATAATAATAATAATAATAATAATAATAATAATACACACACACAAATATATATATATATATATATATATATATATATATATATATATATATATATATATATATATATATATATATATATATATATATATATACTTTATTTTATTTTTTTTAAACAAATGCACTGTAAAACTGGATAGTTCATTTAACTCAAAAAATTTGAGGAAACTAACTACCTCAAAATTTTTAAGTATAATATAACTATATAATTATATAATTTATATTATATTTATATATAATTATATTATATATTATATAATATTATATAATTATATAATTTAAATATAACAAAAATGTAACCAAATCTTTGTAATTTAAAATACATTTTTGCTATATTTAAGTGTGTTGATTTATCAACTTAGTTGAATTTCCTAAATTTTAAAGTTAAACAAACTTATCCAGTTTTACAGTGTGGGTATCATTAGTTTATTACTGTTTAATGCTATTTATAGTATTTTAAATGTAGAAATATTTGACTTTATTATTTTTTGCAGGTGTCTTTGCTTTATACAATTTCTTTCTAAGACTTTTGCACAGTACTATACACTGCTATTAAAACACTAGCAGGCCAGAAATGTTCCCATACATCCACTGTTATCTATTGTGCCATCTGCTGGAACAAATTAGCAGAACGATCCAACCTCAACAGCTGGTGTTGGAGGAGTGCTCTGAGAACATTGCTAGATGATTCCATTATTTAACTCGTATAGCCATGAAATGTATATTTAATACATTGAAAACCCCACAAATTACAAACAGAAAGAGATATTCAAGATGAACTTGCCTGCCTTGACTGAAGTACTCAAGATGGGTACTGCTTCAGGAGATCAACCAGATATACCAGCGCTTTATTAATTCAGCTTTAAACATAATAGGAAGAATTTTTAGTCAATGCAGAAATGTTTAGGTAGCGAGTCTAGACTGGATAACGGATGAGGACATGGATGTGAACTACCGTAGGTGAGATAGATGCCGTTGCAGTTAAGTGTCTTTATTGTGAGCAAGGTAAACAAATTTGTGAATTATTTGTGAATTACATCTCCAGGTGGTTATAAAAAAGGAACAAAATGGGACCCAGACCTGAATCTCGTGAAACACCATATTGCACTGATGAAGAACATCAGTTGACAATAACAAAGTTATATTGGTTTACTCTACAAGGTGGAAGATTTTGGCATTTGAGGGCTAGGGCTGAGGGCTATGATTGTGTAATTTATCTAACACAGTCATAATGTGTAGGTTTGAGTAAAAAAGAATTAGGCCCAGCTAACCATCCACCTGGTTTTATTCAAATGTATAGAGAACATGAAAGGAACCAGAAATTTATATCACACAAATTTGCTTGAGGAGGCTAATAGGTTAGAAGATATGATAAAGGCCACTTGTTTGATGTTGACATGCTGTTCCTCAGTATTTACATACAGTAT